TTTCCTGCATGATTTTGCCTTTCTGGGGAGGAGGGGTTGGCATTCAGGCCCGTGCAGCAAGCTGGGAAGCTGTGAAAAAGTGGGGAATTAAACCAGGCACCCAATAAAAATAACCCATGTCCTGTGAGGTGAATGCTGCCAGCTCCTAGCAGTAGGGATGTAATTGGTTGGTGCTGGTCGTATCCCAGTGGAAGGGGCAGGGGAGGCACATATGGCTGAGCCAGCCTGGGTTGCATAGCAACAGGGAGGATGTGGTGCCTGATGCCATCTATGAGAATGCCTCACACCGTGGGACTCAGTCTGCACAGCACATGGGAAACCAAACATTGATCATCTGGGGGGGTTCTGCATAGAGCAGGGCAGGTCCTCAGGGTGTAATGGTGCTGTGCACGTTGTGTGGGGCTCCAGGGACAGGCTGGGCAGGTGGGACATGCTGGGACAGGCTGGGCAGGTGGGACTGTAACTGGTGTTTCTCCAGGCATGAGCTCCTGCACCCAGCAGCAGCTGTAGTTGACACAGGCTGGTCCTCTCCAGCCCAGGAAGGCACCAGGGTTGGTGGGATGTTCCTCCTGAGCAGGCACCGAGGCTCCTCACTGCATCTCCTCACCTGCTGGCAGCAGTGGAGGTGGCCTGTGTAGTAATGGAAAGACAATGAGGTTATGAGATGGGTTATTTCAATTTCTGTTGTCACTGCTCTTGGGGTTGGTTGCCAGCATTTGTGAAGTGCTTCATTGGTTTGAAGATATTGTGCTGAACAGGACATTTCAATAGGACAAGAGGAGGTGGCCTCAAGTTGTGTCAGTGGAGGTTTAGGTTGTCCCTGAGGAACAATTTCTTGCCCTTGAGGGTTGCCCAGGGCAGTGGTGGAGTCCCCACCCCTGGAGGGGTTTCCAAGCCGTGGAGATGTGGGGTGAGGGACACGGGGCAGTGGGGACCTGGCAGTGCTGGGGGATGGTTGGACTCCATGATCTTAAGTCTCTTCCAGCCCAGACGGTTCTGATGTGAGAAGCCTGAGGAAGCTGTCCCTGGGGTTGGTGCTTGGGGGTGGAGCCTGCTCTGGAAGTCCCTTAACTTTCCTCATCAGTGAGGTCAGAAGGAAAACGTGCAATTCCTGGAACTGTTTATCTGCCACTGCAGCATGGAGGGGTGGGGTGGGAGGCAGAAGCTGCTGCCTTCAGCCTGGGACACCACGCCAAGGCAGTTACTCCTTACAACAGCTTGGAACACCCAGCTGGTGAACCTTCTCCCTGGGGAGGTCTGGAGCCATGACCTACTCCTTGTGGGCAGCACTAGTGCGCCGCATCGTGAGTATCCCTGGGGGTCCCTGGGTGCTGAGGCCACAGTTAGACTTTCCACGTGCTGTGTCATTCAGGTAGTTCTGTGGCCCAGGATTCTGTTCAAAGCAGTGTCAACTCTGCTATAATAGAATAAAATTTTAATAGTGTAAGTTTTATTGATGTCTGCCTGGTGTATTGCATATTGTAAGCTCTCCTGAGGTGCAGTGACACAGTTGAGGGGCAGGGGAGTTCTGAATGTGGGTGATTTGTCCAAATTTCTGACTTGTTTTGTTGAAAAAAAGGAGAGAGGAAAAGGAAAAGGGGAAGAAGAAAGCTTTTCAAGCATAGGTTTTTCTCTGAGTCTTGGCTTACCAATGCAGATGGCCAGGGCTTCCATGGTGCAGTTCCTGTTCATATTCAGTTTATGCTAGTGGATGCTAATTTTTGCACTCCCAAGTCGTGGGGTGTCATTTTGGCTGTCTGATGCCTCCATCTCTTTTGCAAACAAAGGTATTTTTGAAACTGTCTGTGCAGATTGTGACTCATGAGGTATCTTTCAGCTGCTGCTCCTCATACGCCAGGTCTTTATTTCACAGCAGGGAAAAAGGGTTTCACATAAATGTAGGCATTTGTTCTTAGTGATGGTTAATTTTGGTGCTGGTGGGACCAAGACTGTGTGTGTGCATCATTTTCAGGAACTGGAAATTGCAGGAGTGATCAGCCCTGGCCTGTTGCCAAACCCAGCTTAATTCCAAGGGAGCACTGAAAGAGGCATAATCATAATGTGTCATTTTAGAAGAAGAAGTAGAGGCAAATCAGCATCCAACTTGGCTGCTTTATTTCATGTAAAAAATTAAGTTGATTTTTTTTTTTTTCCCTGGCTACTGATGTAAGAATTATGAAGTTAAAGATCAAAGCATGGAGAATTACAGCCTCTGAATACTGGATCAAGAGTAGTATTTATTTGACTGGGGAGATTTCACTGTGATTATCAATAAGAAAGTTCCTAATTTGGGTTTAATTTGTGCACTAAGACACCAGACCCCTCTCTTAGTTGCCTTTTTCTTTGCAGGGTCTGGTTTTATGGTCTCACAAGTATTTTCTGTATGTAGCAGCTGGTTGTATCTGCCCTAGCTTCCTGTTTCATACCTTTCAACTTTGGTTTCTTCTTCCTAGAGATGGATAAAGAAAGAGAATGGATCTCAGATACTAGCACAAGTTTGAGTTAATCCTGGGTAGTTGTCACAGGGGGAAAAAAAACCCCAAACTTTCTGTTCAGAACAGAGCAACAGAAGCTGAAGCCAAGTGGGTCAGTTCTTTATAGAATCATTTAGGTTGGAAAAGACCTTCAGGATCATCAAGTCCAACCATTAACCTAACTCTACCCAACCCATTGATCTGGCAGGATCACTTGTTTTGTGGAGCTTACACAGATACAGTTTTCATCCATGTGGAGAGCTGAGTTTTCAATGGGGATTTAGGCTGGGGAAGGGAGTATGAAGCAGGAACTGGGTGTGTTTGGGTCAGTACCTGCCTGAAAGTGTTCTCTTCTTTCTCCTCCCAGTCCTGGGTGTAAAGTGGCTGTGGTTACCCAGATTGTGCCATTGCAGGTGCTGCTGGGCACTAGGAGGGGGGCTTTGCCCTCTTCTGTGGGTTTCTGTGAATCAGTGTGATGTAGGGCACCGTGGGATGTGTGATGGAGCAGGCTTGTGACACTCTGGTACACTCCCCAAGCCTCACATTATTGCCTCAGTCTGTTCTAAAGCTTTTGATTTGTAGTCCCTGCTTGTTCTTCATTCATCCTCTCTGTCTGCAGCACCAACTTGTTCCCAGTGAAATGTCAGTGCCAGAGAATGCAAATGGGGCTGTGAGATCTCACTGGTGCCTCAGAGCATCTCAGCCATAAAATGCAGTGGTACCTATGGAGAGTTCTCAGAATTTGTGGCAGTTTGACTGGTATTCAAAGCCCCCCAAGTTCAATTAGGTGCTATCCATGAAGGCTAAAAGAGATTGTAAATAGAGGAAATAATCCCTCCCCCTTTTTTTATCAACTAGCCTTCACTGTTTTTTAAATATAAGCTTGTAGTTGCTGAGAGGGAACATTTTGCAAACAATGGGGGTGTTTTTTCCCAGACCCCTCCAAGGTCCTGATGCCCACTGCTTCTGTGTTACCAGCTTGCCTTGAGTCTGCCTGGACTGGTGGAGATGATACAAAAGAGATCTCAAATTAAAAGCTAAAACTCATCATTCTTGTGCTTGCTAATAGTCACATGCTGGAAAAAATAACCTTTATAGTTTGTTGTTGCTTCCTTCTTCGACACAAGCCATCTCCTCCAAGCTGCAAGGGCTATAAGTGGCTTTTCTGCAATAAAACCTCTCCACGAGCTGGGAAGAGCATCAGCTCCTCTCACCTCTCCCTAGTTTGGTCATACTTGGGAGGTTTTTTTTCTCTCAGCTGGCTGACCAGGTTCTCATAGCTCATTAAATTCCCTGCAGTTCTTCTCAAGCTGGTGGAGGCCAGAGTCTTTAAATAGTTCAGGCCTAAGCAGCAATTTGTAGACTTGGAAGAATGTTTATTTCTTCCAGCTAATCATTTAACCTATTAAAAAAATGTGGATTGGAAGGTATCACCAGGGACAGATGTACAATTGTCTTCTAAAATAAGCAGCTTCCTCCAGAAGCAAAATGCAATAACATTACTCAGTATAACAGAGCAATCTCTTATTTGGAGTGGCTTATTCCTTACATTTAGACTTTTCAGTTTGTTAATTGAATTTAAGCTCATAACATCTACAGAAGTAGAAAAGTCATTTCTTTTCCAGGCTTGTTTTGGTTTTAGCACAGAGCATAACTGAATATTAATTGTGTCATTTTGGCTGTAAAACCAAATCTCAAAGTTCAAATCTATCATGAAGTAAAACATTGCCTGAAACTGAGGAATATGTGATCAGTTTGTCTGCAATGTGAAGTTTCATGAGAATTGCTGAGCCTTCAAATGAGCAATATATTTGCATCTAAGTTTCTCTCCTGTCACTGCTGCAGGGGGATTATCTGGCTCCTGCACGTCTTCTCCTTACAACCATCATGGTTGTGATAACACCAGACTTCTCCTAAACAGTGTCTCCTAAATGCAATAAAATGAAGTCACTTTTCTGCTGCTTTTTAGGCAGTTTTTAGCTAGAAACCCTGCAGGTAATTGCAGGTGCTACAGCCTGTGCCATGCAGGGAGATAACGTGCTTTGGGTGGAGCCAGTGGGGAATACTGGCTCCCAACAAAAACTGGGACATGCTTGTGGCTGTTGGATCATGAAGTTAAAGCTTCTCTGAACTAGCCTGGGCAGCAGGGAGGACAGCAAGAATAATGCTTTGCATTATTCTTTTAACACCCAAACTCTGAGCCCCTGTTTCTTCAGGGTTACAAACTGAAATTTTACTTTGTCTAGTAATGGTGTGTGGCAATAGTCAGAATAAAAGGTGGAGCCTTTGGCTGTTTATTTCACTCAGAATTAAAACAAACCCCTTTGGCCACAGCAGAGAAACACTGGAGGATGGCAATGGCTGATCACAGGGGTGGGAAGATAAGAAACGTGTTAGAAAAGATGCCAGCATTGTAGGACTTCATCAGTGGCCAAATATGGCACTGTGAATTATCCCTAATGTCAATATTTGTATAGTCTTAAGGCAGAATTTGTTAGGTTTACAAAATTAAGGACACAAGAAAACATGCAATATTTGTTTGTAATATTTGTATAGTCTTAAGGCAGAATTCGTTGTGTCCTTAATTTTGTAAACCTAAGAAAACATGCAATATTTTTTTTAATTTTATTTTCAGTAATATTAAGGAATCTCATACACTGAATATGGTCCTTACTTTGTGCTGCTGGAAGTGATGTGGTGGTTTCCACCAGCATACTCTGCTAGGTGTGTTTCAGGGGTGGGTTTTTTGGGGTTTTTATCCCTTTTTTCAAAGAAGTAAAAGGCTTTGGACAGGTGCAAAACAATCTAATCTGCTGTCAGATGAGATCTTCATAAGCAAAGCTGACAGGGCACTGAAAGCCATAGTGCTATTTGCTCAGGATAATGAATGCAAATGAGGCCAACATTTCATTATCTACACGCTGTGTTATTTCTGTAACTTTCTGTCTTGACTGTGTAGCTCAATAAAACTGCAGAGCAAAAGGTGTGACATTGCTGTACCCTGGAGGGTATTAACCTTGGGCTGCTGCAAACCTGGGACTGCCCCATGGAGGGATTCCCTCCCCTGGAGGGGAAGGGCCTTAGATGCACTGTGTCCCTCTTTGGGAAAGCAGCAGATCTATGAAATAAAAATACTTAGGAACTGAGAGGTCAGAGGAGAAAACAGAAAAACCACCTTTGTCTGTCCTATGTGGTACGTTGTGTATGGACTTTGGCAAATTGATGGGTGCTAATGTAAAGGTTTTCTAGTGCCTGGCACTATGCTAATTTATTTATTTATGCTTTTTATTTTGAATGTCTTCCAAAGAAAGACCTAAGGGAAAAAAAATAGATCCTTTTCTTAAACCAGGAGAAGAGTGGAGGTGATGTTTCCCATGCGGGGCTGGGGGATGAAGGGTGGTCCCCAGCAGGATCCTTTGTGTTTGCATAGGGGCCTCTAAACATCCTGTGCAACCTGAGATGATAATGATGTTAAAGCAACGTGGAGTTAGAAATACCAGGGAGCCAGTTGTGGCCTCCAGAACCAGTTACTTGCCCAGGAGAGCAGCACTGACTCTGTGGAGAGTCGTCGTTCCAAGTCCATCACCCCTTCCCGTGTTTAAGTTCATTCCTGATGTTACACTGACTGGATTTAATTGGGGGATTCAAAACCACTATGGCAAATCAAACCTGTTAATGCTGAAAGGTGTGGTGTGCTCTGTTGCAGGACCAGCTGAAGCAGTGCTTCTCCAGACAGCCACCCGGGGCCAAGGACACAGACACGCTGGTGCAGGAGCCCGACAGCCAGTACGGGACCTGGAGCGAGCAGCGGCACAGCGGGGACAGGTGAGGGAGCAGCTCCTGCTGCCCCTGCAGGGCTCGGCCTTAGCCCAGGCATCCCAGCAGGGTGGGGTGGGAAGGGACCTCTGGAGATCACCTCATCCCACCCCCTGCTCCAGCAGCTCACCCACAGCAGGGTGCCCAGGGTCACAGCCAGGAGGGTTTGGGATCTCTCCGGAGCAGGAGACTCCACAGCCTCTCTGGGCAGCTGCTCCAGGCTCTGCACCCTCACAGCAGAGAATTTTCTCCTCCTGGTCAGATGGAACCTCCTGGGTGCCCGTTTGTTCCTATTGCCCCTTGTCCTGTCGCTGGGCACCACTGACCAGAGTCTGGCCCCAGCCTCTTGCCCCCCGGGGCCCTTTAGCTCTTGCTCAGCACTGCTCAGATCCCCTCTGAGGCTTCTCTTCTCCAGCTCAGCAGCCCCAGGGCTCTCAGCCTGGCCTGGCACAGAGATGCTCCAGCCCCTCAGCAGCTTTAGTCTATAGGTGAAGAAATATTTCTTTAACATCTGCAAAGTGCAATAAAGTTTGAAATTTAAACTCCCTCCTTCAGTGAGAATGAGCTGTCACCACCTCTGTTAACAATGGCAGAACCTACGTGGACTGGACTAGATCTGACAAGTGCTAATGAGTGAAAAACAAGTTAATGTTACATTAGTGCTAAAATGGTAGAAAGAAAAGACAAGAAAACCAGTTTTTCTCAATAAATACACCAAATGGCTTTGACTAGATTAACGTAGGTAGGAAAACTTGTTTTATGCTTTGTCTTTGTGTTTGTAATGGTATTTAGAAGTGTACATCTTCACATGTACAAGGTGAGTGGCTGTGATATGTGCCTCTGCTGGGCAGAACCAGGGTTCTGGCAAGATTTAGCTAAAATTGTCTGTTATCCTTCCTCTTGGGCAGGTGAGGAAGTGCTTGGTTATGGTTCAACAGGGTGCAGAAACAGTTTGGGGGTTTGGTTTGTTTTTTTTAAGAATTTGGAGGTCTCCATACCAATTAGCATTGCCTTACAAGCCGTGCTGCTGGGGAGGCTGAAGGGCAGGACCTGCCTGAGGTGCTCTGAGGAGCAGGATGAGTGCAGGGCACCTGGGGACGTGTCCTGAGGAGCCCCGGGGGCAGTGCCCACCTCTCACCACCCCGGGGCAGCTTGGTGTGGAGAGCTGGGGGAGGAGAGGGGATCCAAGTGGGAGGTTTTTTGTAACTCACACCTGTTGTGGAAATTATAACTTCAGCTACACGATTGGAGCCAACGATCTCTCTGCTTGGTGGATGAAAATAGCATTTTCTCTGGTTTTCTGGTGCTGTACTTGTTGAGATCTTACAGCAGACATTAATGCCAATTATGTTCAGTGTGTTCTGCGCTTGAGAACTGTTATAAATATTTTATTGCTTATGAAATCAGGATAGCTTTCAGCTTGAAGTTCAGTGAGCAGAGTGAGTGCCAGCAGTGACATCCAAGTCTTCTGTAAAAGTAACTTTGATTTCAGGATGTTCTAGACATCATCTGAGATCAATTTCTTAACAAAGGGGCTTCTCTCAGCTCCAAAACAGCATTTCAGTGTGACCTCAAACCTGCAGGATTCTTCCTGGTTAGAAAAGCTCCACCTGAAAATTCTGGTTTACTGAAGTATTGAACTCAATCCCCATGTCCTGGAATTTTCTTTCCACTGTAAGGAATATTTATTTTTTGATTTTTTTTTTATGGTGTAATGATGACAGTATAGTGACTTTCCAGCATTTTGCCACCCCCTTGCTCAGCTTGAGCTTGACTTAATGGTTCCTTGCAGGGGAATTACTGGTGTATTGAATCAGATGCTCAGAGAAGAATGAGAGTGAGGTCCTTTTAAATATTAAATAATAATGGAAACCTTCCTGGAATATGCTGCAGCTGCATTTTGTTTGCAGTTCATTTTTCATGAAGTAGAAGTCCTCCCCTGGGACTGGTGCAGCCGTTCTGCTCCTGCCACGGGTGATGGGCACAGGTCTCTGCCTCTGGCACAGTCACCTCCTCTCAGCCCAGGGCAGGAACTTGCAGCAGACTCTGACAATTCAGCTTTCCTGTTTTGCCTGCCTCGCTTCCCGTGGCTGTCTGACTGCCCAGCCTGGGAGGTGAGCTCCTCACACAGCCCTGTGTGCCATCCAGGGCAGTGCAGGGCCATGAAAAGCCCCATGGCTGAGAGGGCACCAGGGAACGGGCACCTGGGGAATGGGCACTGGGACCTGAGCCCTGGGAGGGTGCCCAGGGAGTTGACAGGATCCCAGCAGGGTGGGGCTGGAAGGGACCTCTGGAGATCATCTGCTCCAGCCCACTGCTCCAGCAGCTCACCCACAGCAGGGTGCCCAGGGTCACAGCCAGGTGGGTTTGGGATCTCTCCAGAGCAGGAGACTCCACAGCCTCTCTGGGCAGCTGCTCCAGGCTCTGCACCTTCACAGCAGAGTTTTCTCCTCCTGCTCAGATGGAACCTCCTGGGTTCCAGTTGGTGCCCGTTGCCCCTTGTCCTGTCACTGGGCACCACTGAGCAGAGTCTGGCCTCAGCCTCTTGCTCCCCAGGGGCCCTTTAGCTCTTGCTCAGCACTGCTCAGATCCCCTCTGAGGCTTCTCTTCCTCCCCAGGGCTCTCAGCCTGTCCTGGGCACAGAGATGCTCCAGCCCCTCAGCAGCTTTGTATGGGGGATTTTTTTGAAGGGAATTTTAGAATGAAAAGCTGTGAGTACATGACAGTGGGATAAACAGGCTCCTTTTGCCAGCTAAGCTTCTAGGAAGGTGGAGGAAGGATGGTTTTCATCCAGAACTTAGCCACTAGCTTATCTAAAAGATTTTATTTATCTTTTTTCTCAAGCATTTTAGTAAGTTTTCCAAGTTGGCAATGGAGGAAATTCTTATGTTTAGATCAGAACAGTTTTCATAAGGAAAAACAATTCTCCTTCACTGAACAGGGGCTGTGTTTTTAGGTGATGGATCTACACAGCTCTGACCTCCTGAGCTTTTAGCTGTTGGTTTCTTCCAATCCTTGAAGCCAGACTAGGACAAAGTTTTGGAAAAGAAAACCCACTGTAGGGTGTCAGCTACCTGTGATAGTTGGGAATCTGGAATTAGGTTATAAAAGGACATTTCTAAATGGACATTTTATCTTATGTGGTGCCTCAGGCAAATACTGAGAGCTGCCTTCTGGTTCTAACTCTTTGGCAGCATAAGAAGCAGGATTCCTTTACTTTTTGACTCCTAATTTCACATGGTGAAGCAACACATTCCTTATGGCCTCTTAGCACTGGCTTGCTACAACTAATTAAGTTTAATTGCAGCTGAAAGTGAAGATTGATCTTAGTTTATTGTGTATTTTTGGTGACATGATGCTGATATTTGTGTGCACCACATGAAGGATGATTT